TTATTTGTTTATTTATTTATGTATTTTGTGTGTGTGTGTGTGTGTGTGTGTGTGTGTGTGTGTGTGGCCAGCTCAGCCCCTGGGCTGGCTGGCATGTGGTGCTGGGGGCTGGCTGGCATGTGGTGCTGGGGGATTGAACCGTGGTCCCTGTGCTTTGCTTAGCTTAGCTTGTTCTAAGTAGGTGCTTTAGACCACTGAGCCATCTCACCAGCCCCTATGACCAGGACTTTTAAAAGTGTTTTTGTTCTGGTTGTTCAAGTCTCTCCCTAGTTTATTTTTTCCACTTTAAGGAAAGGGTCACAACGTGAAACTACTGGGTGATAGAGTTAATGTCATCTGTTGATACAGTGTTGGAAGCAGGAAGAGGGATTTGGAATTGGTGTTCTGGAATGTAGAGAGGTAGCCTGGGAAAGTAAATAATTTCAGAAAAATGTAATTTGCTCAGATACTGTCGTTAACTTTCATTTTCAGTTTTCTGTGAGCTTGAACACTTTTCATTTGGTGTGATGTATGAATTCATTTTCTTGTAGCTTTCAGATGAATGTGGTGAGCTACTTAATTATAGGTAGTGGCTTTACAATTGGACAAAAGCTAGCAGTTGCAGAAATGAACAGTCTATTATGAACCAGGTGTTAGGTTTGGGAATTACGAGCAATGGACACATTTTAAAGCTTTCAAAAGTTTCTTATCTAGGAGAACTGATTCCCGAATTTGGAGCCCTAGAGCCCAGAAAGCTAGTGAAGATGTAGCTTTTCAGGTGCACCAGCAATAGTTTTGTTTTTTTGTGGCCGGCTCAGCCCTCTGGGCGGGGAGGCGGGGTGTGGGGGGGTAGGCATGTGGTGCCCGGGATCAAACCGCGGTCCCTGCGCTTGCTTGAGCTTGCCTAATAAGCAGGTGCTTTAGACCTATGAGCTATCTCGCCGGGCCCTCGGGAGCATCTTTTTTTGTTTGTTTGTTTGTTTTTTGGCGGAACCGGGGATTGAACTCAGGTCTGTGCGCTTGCCAGGGAAGCACTTATTCCACTGAGCCATCTCCCCGGCCCCTCAGGAGCATCTTTGATTTGTGCAGGGCAGCACATATTTACAATTTTAACCAGCATTCCTGTGATTCTCATCTTAGTTGACTACAAATAGCTGCACCGGAACTGAGAGAAGGCTGGATTTGCGGCGTCAGCACTGCGGGGAGGAAGGGCGCTTACCTGTGGGGTGCACGGGGGAATTTCCCCCGCGGCCCAGCGGCAGCCCCAGCTCCGCGCCCGGCCCAGCGCCACCTCCAGGAGGCCGGAGTGCTGGCCCCGCCCTCCGCCTGCGCCGGCCGGAAGCTCCGCCCCTCCTGGGCCGCGGCCAACGGCGCCAGCGCCGGAAGTAACGACACGGAGGCGGCTGCGAGGGCGGGGCCTGGGCCGGGCAGCTGGTGGGCTGAGATTTCCCGTCGGAAGCAGCACCGCGGCGCCGGGAGGGACCTGTGCCGTGAGCGGGCGCCGGCGGGGACGGGAGGTGCGTGGTCCCGAGCCTGGGCGGGAGGGGGCATCCCTGCTTCCGCGCGGGCCCTGGCGGCCGCGGGCGGGGCCTGGCCCTTAGTCGCCCCGGCCGGAGCCGGTGTTGGTGTCCTCGATGGCGAGGGGCGGGGCGCGCCCGGGGGAGACCTGCGACCCCCGCACGGAGACGGGACGGGGCGGCCCGCGGTCGGCGCGCGTCGGGCGGGGTCCGGGGGGAGCCAGCGTCTGGGGGCGCAGGTGCTCCTGGGGCCGGCCGAGCCCCGGACAAGGGGAGCGGAGAGGAAGTGGCCTGGGCCGGGGCCGCGGCTCGCGCCCTAGAGCGCCCTTGTCCGGCGGCTCGCGGAGGCGGCGTCCGGTGCTTGTCTTTGGGTCGGGACAGTCGCGATGTTTGCGTGGCCCAGGCATGGCTGTGTCTTCAGTATTTGCTTTTTCTTCCTCTCATCCGTTTCAAATGTGTGGCGCTGCTGCGGCCAGAGCTTTGTTTGGGGGCGCATCAGTCTGGTAGTGGAGGCAGGACAAGATCAGAGAATCAGGTGAGTTCTGCATAATTCAGCTGAGATGCAGTGAGTTTGGTCTGGGCTGTTGGTTGAGGCACAGATAGAGAACATGAGCAGGACGCGGCAGCCAGTTGAGAGTAGAATGAAGTGTACAGGTGACTGGAGCTAAGTTTAGAGCGTGTGATGCAGTGTCTCAGAAATAAGTTGAAGAAGGGAAGAGGAAGTGCCTAGGAACTACCACTTTTGTAGTCTCAGCAGGTGAAAATGCGCAGGGGCTGATACTAGCGAGCTCCAGGCAGCCCTTTAGGCGGACTTACGAGTGGGTGCTGGAGTGATGGAGGCTGCGCCTGAGGGAGAGGGGTGACCGTGAGAGAGGCTGTGGGCACAGCTGGTGACAATGAATGTGGTGGGAAGGCAATAGTGAAGTTGCCACTGGAGCAGAGAGGGAGCGAGAAAAGCTTCAGGAAGGAAGACGTTGCAAGAGATTTGGAATATTAGCCCTGGTGCAACAGAAAGAACCAAAAATGTTGAAACGCTGCAGTACAAATACATGGTCAGCCACAGATGATTGTATTACTTATTCTTTGAGGTGCTGGGATGAAACCCAGGGCCTCACGCACTCTAGGCAAGCACTGCCGCTGAGCTGCATCTGCAGCCCCAAAAGCTGATTTTAAGTTTTCTTTTCTTTTTTGCGGAACCGGGGATTGAACTCAGATCCTTGCGTTTGCCAGTCAAGCGCTTATCCTACTGAGCCATCTCCCCGGCCCCAATTTTAAGTTTTCTGATAAACACATTTTGTGAAGGTAACAAGAAACAGGTGACAGTAATTTAAATATTTAACCTAATATAGCTAACATTTTTATTTCAATGGGCAGTCGATTTACTCTAAAAATTACTTGTGCTCCCTTCTAGGTAGTAAAGTCTCCTGTAAACAGAAACATATCTGATTCCATAGTATCCCCAGCACCCATTACAATGTCTGGTCATGTGGAAGAAACCCAGTGAGTGTTTGCTAACAAAAGAGGCTTCTTCTGCTCCCGTTGTTTTTTTTATTTTTATTTATTTTTTGGTCTTTTGAGACTGGGTCTTACTGTGCAGTTCAGGCCTCAAAATTGCAATGATCATCCTGCCTCAGCCTCCCAAGTGCTGGGATTACAGGTGTGCGCCTCCATGCCTGGCTTTGATTAAAGAATATTAATGTTTAGTTTTCACAGTGGCTTTTACAGTTGAAATTGATCCAAAGCACCTGGGTGTGGTGATGTACACCTATAATACAAGCACTTGGGGGACTAAGACAGGAAGATTGCCTCAAGTTCAAAGCCAGTCTGGCCTATATAAGTGAGTCCAAGGCTAGCTTGAACTACATAGTGAGACCCCATCTCAAACCCACAAAGAACAAATTATCCAAAACAAAAGAATTTAGGCAATGGAGGATAAATGAATCTTTTGGGAAGAAGTCTTTATAACTGAGAATTTAAGTTGGGCATGGTGGCTATGCCTGAAATCCCAGTTACTGTAGTGATTGAGGCAGGAACATCACTTGAGCTCAGAGTTGGAGGCCATCCTGGGCAATTTAGCAAGACCCCATCTAAAAGAAAGAAAAGAGTTTGAAATATAGGACCATTGTCCCATATCCATAATTAGGAAATCTCAGAATCCCCAAACTACAAAGTGTTTCATCGCTAATTTGGCAGAACTCTAACATGAACCTATATATAAATTATTTCACTTGTAAACTTAATGTTTCATTTGGTGATCCTGAGCCTCTGTGGAAGCTCTGTATAACATATTTACATTATATTACCTTCAAGAAATTCTGAATTCTAGGGCCGGCCAGATAGCTCAGCGGATTAAAGCGCTTGCTTGGTTCTTCCTGGCATGCAGTGCTGGCCCTGCCCCAGATGGCAGATGAGACCTGGCTTGCCTGGGCTTGGTGGCGCACACCTGTAATTCCAGCCCTTGGGAGGCTGAAAACAGGAGGATCACTACAAGTTCAATCTGTGTAGTGAGACCCCGTAGACCCAGTACTAAATTAAAAAAAAAAAAATCTGAATTCTAAACACATTTAATTCTGAGAGCTGCAGATAGGGGATTCTGGGGTTACCTTAGGTCATCTTAATTGCATCGTCTGAGTCAGCATTACCATTATTTTAAAACAAGTTGCTACAGCAACTCTACAAATTCAGTTTGGAGCTGTACCTCAAGGTGTAGGTATGTAGATCAGCAGGGAGCATTTCATTTGCATATTTTATTCTGGGGCTCAGGCTGAGGGGGCAGAGGCTACACAAGGTAAGCTCTTCTCAGAACAGCAGCAGAAGTACAAGAAGGAAAGGCCAACCGCACAAGCATAGTTCTGCCTGTACCAGGTCAGCTAAGATGGCATGGACCAAAGGTTAGTGGGCGTAGTGGGTTGTGCCTTGCTTGAGGCCCAGCAAGTGTCAAGGACAATCCCAACATCACTGGAGAAAAGTACAATTGTAGCTTGATATCTTTGGGACATTGGTTCCATGACGTCCCAGGGTTTTCAAGTGTATGGGAAGTGCACTGTATGTGTAACCTACACAGGTTCTCCTGCATACGTTTTCTTTTGGGTTGTATGTCCATCTAAAAATTTTTTTAAACGTAATTCCAGTAGTCATTAGTAAAGAATATATAAAAACACTCTTCCATGAAAAAGTGGAACAGCATTTGCTATGTAATTGCACTGCATCGGGGCCGGGTAGATGGCTCAGTAGAATAAGGGCTTCCCGGGCAAGCACAAGG